GAATTTTACGTAGAGTTGCACTCGAATTGTGTAATAGTTTGAGGGAATGGCTATATTTGTATACAATTATAAAGTACAGTACAGTATATGAACGCTTTCTTTTCACTTCATTGTCATTGAACTTAAGGTTATATACAGTATATATTATTGGAAATTTTTATTAAACTTAGTTGTGTAATAAATGTACTACAGTATATAATTGTATATATGATTACCATCTAGAAATCAACATAAGTTAATATTACTTGTTTAAAATTAATAATGATTGGTAGTATTTTCCATAACAATTTATTCTAGGAAAAATATTAATAAGATATTCTTGATTTTACGCCATTTACTGTTGAAAAATATACATTAATAATGTTATGAAAATTTATTTTCTGTGAGGAATAACTTATAAGCCAATAATCACCATAATTAATATTATAACTTATTTTATTAATTTAACTTATTCTGGCTACTTGCATCAAATTATATTCCAAATTAAAAGTTTTACGATAAATTTTAAATTCAAATTAATTTAACTAAAAGATATGCTGTAATTGTTAATCATGTAGTTATCTTCATTAACAATAAATAAATACTTACTATAAACAACTAGTTTGATGAATTAAAAAGTTTGTTTAACTTTTTAAATGAAATCAAATAGGATATGATTGATATTTAAATCGGATTTACTGATTTATTTATCTATAATTGTTTATATACAGAGTATATTATTAATATTTATATTTAAAATTAAGTTTAGTGTTTATGTGATCTAGTTAACCTAATAGATGAGGTCAAAATTAAAATAAAATCTTGTGGATTTAAACAAAGTATGCTAATACTTAAACACAATATGATTAGGTGTCTATCCGTGATAATCAGACTGAAAGATCCGGTATGTCTTAGAAAAATTTTTAATGTTTATAATGTTATTTATTTGCTCCCATATTGTAGTTATATTGTTCAGTATACCTTTATCCACTTATTAAATTTAGTAACAAATCACTAAATATTAATAATTATAAATTATTTTTAATATTTATCCAATTAGAGGCTATGTTAATTTTAATTATAATTAGTCTGGAATATGATATACAGTAGTAGTCGGTACTGGGAAAAATGTTACCTAGAAATTAAATTTAATTTCCATTGCAATAAGATATGTACTGTAGAGCCTAAAGCACATCTATGATTTAATTGGGAATATATTTGTTATTTATGCTTATTTAGGGGCGACTAAGTCAATTTATTTATTTGTACCCGCGTTATTTACAATTTTAATGGACAAACTTAATTTTGAGCTTGTATTTACGTCAATGTCGTACAGTAAAGCCATTTTGTGATGTGGAAAAATTTTATTGGTTATAATCTTGTAATTATTTGTCTCATCCCATAATTGAATGTCTCTATGAATTTGGTGCTTAAATATATCTACACGTCTGTGTGAATGTGAGACAGGCATGGGATGTTGGAAAGGGGGGACAGGGAGATTGAGAGCGAAAGTGTGCGATAAATATATAATGATAATTATGATAAACTGGCACATTTGGCATTGAAATGGAAAATAACCAAAAATAAGACTTAAAAACCAGTGCAACAAATATATTAGTGAGAAATCATTGGAAAAAATAATTTTATTTAACAAGTAAGCTATCTATTAATTCCATCTCTAATGAAATTCAAAAATCTAAAACACTTTTTAAAAATACTTTGGTCTATAAGAGTACTCAAATGTTTAAATTAATTATTTTCGTATTCAAAATTTAATTAACATTTTCTCATCAAAGATCTCGTAATGTATATTAATATTGTATATTTACATTAGTAGACTCCCAGTACATTTTCTCTACCAGTCCTTCATTTATGTGTATAAATCTATTACGAAATAAGTACATAATTTATACAATTATTATACAGTTTTAGACAATGAAAATCATAATAAATAAAGACTTCACTCATTGAGCTAACAACAAATATTTTCCCATAAAATAGTTTTTATACTGTATTTTATTTATAATGTTTATAAAGAAGTAAAATTGAATTCTCAATTGAGGTCATAAATATTTGATTGTCTATTACTGCACACATCCATAATATCTCTGGCTATCACTCACTCTTTATAACATTATAATAGTTATAATGATTTAAATAATTATTTTTATAATTGTTAGCAATACTTCTATTTGTGCAATAAATTAGAGGAAAATGTAAATTATAAGCGCCAATAAAGTGCCAAGGTGTTTGCTGTGAAAATTCCCTAGTTTTAACTTCGTAACAAGCTTATTAATTTAATAAATGTTTTAATGTTATTAAATCCCAATTAAGTTATTATATTTGACGAAATCATTTATAATTTTTAATCATTAAAGTTTAATTTTATACTTACTGTTTACCAAAACAAATAACTTGGTAAAAATGTATACAAATAGTATTTATTATAATACCAATAATATATTTTGCCCCAAGTCATAAAGTGAGCTCAATAAATAAGCTTTTATGTGATGTCTATTTCGTATACATAATAAATACATTTACCTATCAATTAAAATATATTTTGCAATATGCATTTTATATTTTATAAACCTTATTTTTTGTTACAAAAATATAATTTATCAGAAAAGTATTTATATGTATATTGTATTTAATATTTGAAATTTTTGTTACAATTATATTACATTAGCTTTAATCAGTATTTTAAAGTTGTACAGTGCATATTATAAAGTTATTTGAAGTCGAACATAAAATAATTTTCCGATTTATACTGTTTCTAGATAAGACACGATTGTATGCATTTCTTATATCAAGGTACAATCGCTAAGTGTTTAAAATATAAGATATACAGTATGTGTGCTGACACATTATTTTCAAATGACATTCACTCTATTCTTAATGAGAAGTTTTTTCTGAGTTAACATTTCCGAGAAATACAACATTTTTTATACTTTAGTATTTCCATTACAATGATGCTGGTAACTCTTGAAAAATGCACTTTATTATGAACTATTTGGGACTGGCCCTCGATAGTGGACAGCCTTATACTTGATTTGGTCACAGGTATAACACAATCATTAAGATAACCCCCAAATAACTCATAATAATCGTTGGATTTTCTTATCCTTCGACTACTAATCCTTATCTATAGATAACACATCTCTCACAAGCTTTTCAATGCTAAACCCAAACAAAATAAATCAATTCTACATTTCAAACAAAACCTTAATAGAAGTTAATTGAAAAATGTTTTGTTGTTTTATTTGATTGCAATTTCAAATCCCAAATACAAACATAACATTTACGCGAATAATCTATAATTACTTATAAAATACATGCAAAATAAAACTTTGAAAAAAGTTTTTAATAATAAAATGAATGCCATTGAAATACATGTGTGAACACACACATAAGCAGCATGCCATTGCAAAACCCCTTCCCTATTGACTTTCCCATTAAAAAGTGACATAAAAAGCCTTCAATTCGAGAGAGAGAGAGAGAGAGAGAGAGAATGTGTGAGTGAGTGAGAAATACATAAATTGTTTGTGATTTAAATGAATTATTGATTTGATACAAACAAATGTGTTATCAATATTCATATCTAAACTATTTGACTGCATTTGACTGAATACGTGCGCGACTGAAGCCAATCGACAGGTGTGTATACCTTTTAGCGGACACCAGTGCTTTCACCCAACAAACATCTACCCGTCCTTTAAAAAACTGATGGACTATTCCTCATAACATATATATACCGGTAAAAAGTGTAAGCAAATGTTTATTACTGTGAATACGTACGCCAAGTATATACCATAGCATGTGTTAGCAATGGTCAGGGATTTACTAATGGATTGGAAATATGTTTTGATTGCAAAAAAGTGTTATAAACTCAACTGTTTGTGTTGACTGCGAGGTATGAATTGGATGTTAAGCTAAGCTTTTTGTTTTGTTTTCTTTTCTTTTGGTGTAGTTTTTGTCAATTGAGTGAATTGTACGGAACGGTAGTGTTGTAGTCAAGTAGTGAACCAAACGCTGTTCTCTCATAGAGAGGGCGAGAATGTGTGAGTGAGAGGGAGACCCTCAAGCAATAGGGCTTTTAGGGGTCAATACAGATATACTTACAGTCAATGTGTGTGTGAAGTGTGAGTGAGAGCTGTAGTAATGATGAGAGAGTGTACGCGAGAGGACAGGTATGTGCGGAGTGAGTGGAACTCATGTGAGAGAATGCCAGAGCATAGGGATAGGGATTGGAGAGAGAGAGAGAGGTCATATTAATCCAATAACCTAATAAACTTAATATACTATGAGATAGTGTGTGAGTGCGAGAGAGAGAGAGAGAGCTCAACTTTTTGGTGTATTTCCTGATCTCACTCTCGAAATTGTTTTCTTAATGTACTTTACATTATATGCCAAACCATTACTAATATCATAGATATAGAGTACAGACAAGTGCTGTAAAATATAGACAAAAAATTATATTTTTTAACCAAAAATTTGCTTTTATTTCGGAATTTCTTGTTGTATTTATAAAGTATTAGTTTTTAATATTTAATTCGTATATTATCTTAATATTTATATTTTAATTGCAATATTTTATTAATTTAACTAAATGTTTTTGCATTGAATATTATTTTTACTCTAATTATGTTATACAAGTAAAATGAGTTAATTATAATTAAATGTGAAAATTAAATGTATTAACACTATTAATATATGCCTTTTTGTTTGTCCCTCTTTACAGTGAATTCTCTGATTATTAATAAATAATAATTATATACATATAATAATATTAATAATAATAATAAGTGAAGTGATGTCTTCATCCATAAGTTTTGACGAGATTTTAATGAAAAAGTTTGTCGAGAATACTCCGCAAATCGCGCCGTCGGTGTTGAGCCGTTGGGCTAACGAGCTCTCACTGAACGAGTCGGATGTTTGGCATAACTATCCGGGACTTCCGTTTGCGCTCAATATTGAAGCCAACCTTATTGGAGAGACTCACGTAATTATATTTCATTAAGTGTCATATATTTGTTAAAACAACATGACATGAAAAACACATTTAAGTTAATCATGTTTTTCAATCATTTAATTATTATATTTATTTCGCTTTAAAACCCCTTTTAATATGCAGTATGTGTTTAGCGTTTATATGCGTTCACAGTAACTGTAAGCGGGTTTATGTTAGAAATGATTTAAGGGATCCTAATTTAAATTAATCTAATTAATTTATAATTTATTTAATACTAATTGTTTAGTGTATCTGTTTTAAATATCAAGCTATGCTATTATAAATGTTGAAAAGTCTGTTGAAAG